TGCCGGCCCCGCTGCGGCCGGTATGGGAAGCGCCGCGGCCCCCTCGGCAACCATGGAGCGCCGGCCCGGAAGCGCCGCCGGCCGGGACGGGCCGTCAACAGCCGCCGCTGAGGGGAGCAGGGGGCGGGCACGGCGCATGCGCCCGCCCTATCACCGCGTATCCGCCACCGCGGCTGCCAATGGGGAGCGAGCGCGAGGGGGCGGCCGTTGGGGCGGCCGTTGGGGCCGTTAGGGCGGGGCCGCGCGGTCGCGGGGCGGGTGCGTGCTCGCGGGCGGCGCGCTGTGGCGGAGCCGCGCGGCTGCCCACGGTCGCCCACGGCCTCGCCTCGCGCCTCTGGGCGTCGCCGCGTTCCGTTTTCCCCGCGTGGGCGCCTGGGTTGCGGCTTTACAGGCCCTCAGCGGGACGCGCAGGTAAAAGGCGGAGTATCCCGTTTGAGTTCGGTCTTACTCGTTTTACTTCCTCTCCTGCGTATCTGAGATCTCAGCACGTCTCCAGTTACCCAGGCTTGCGATTCCACGTGCTTTGCCTTCGCTCTCTGCGTCATGACACAGGGTTCCCAAGCGGCCTTCATTCCTGGGTGAACCCCGCAAGGGTTCYCACTGGGCTGCCGTGTCCCTGGGCCCCTGCAGAAGGAGCACGGCCGTCCCTTGCTGAGCTCTGTCATCGCATTGCCTTCTTGAAACATGACATTGAAAACACTTTTTCCATAAGCTTTATAGTAATATGGTTATCCGCTGAGGCACCTTAGACTGATTTCTCAGAACAAACCTCCACTTTCTACAGAATCAAAGCTGTTCTCTGTGGAACTTTAACTTTCATGAAGCCCTTGCAGCTTCTACAAGTCCTCATGCAGCATTTAAAAATGCTGTCAAAAATGTCTGTGTTCATCACTCATTCATACTTCTGATCACTTCATTTTCCTATTTCAGTCAGGACCACTTTCTTAGAAATGTCTCTTCTGTTTTATACAGGCTAAAATTAGTAACAGACTGTTGCTTTATCTTGTCAGCATAATGTATGCATCCTGTGAAAGTGTTCCCATTCCAGTTTCAGTCTGTTCATTACTCATTTTCATACAGAGGTCAGCATTTAAATTCTGTTAGTACACATTGAATTGTCATATCAGGGTAAATTTCTAACTGCAAAAGAAAGAGGTCTACAATCTGAAAGGACTGTGAATATTTTCTCTTGAGGGGTAGGTAACAAGAAAAGTCGCAAAACCTCAAATGGAAACCATCGTCAACAGTAAGCATTCCAGAAATCAAAGTCTACTTCCTTGTTAGAAGAAAATCCTTTTGGACAGCTCAGTAGTCCCATCGCTGAACATGGTAGCAAAGTTTTCTGTTTGGTTCTGTTACTCGGTGCAAACAACTTCATGCTMTGTGGGTGAGTAATGCCTGTAATTCAGCATCAGGAGGGTATGAAAAATGAGTGTAATTAATCCCTCATAATATTTGTTATGTAATGTTATGTAAGTATAGAATCTACACTGGAGTTTAGGATGGCAAGAGATGTTTTTAGCAAAAGGATTACAAAAAATACCTGCATACTGTACAGTAACATCTATAAGATACTACAGCTGTTTAAAAAACAAAAGTTAAAACTCTGAATTTCAGCATTAACTTGAAAATTGACCATGCCATTTATAAAAGATTTCAAATGACCAGCAGAAATGTTCARCTATCTTAACTTTGCTCTTTATTTGCTTCTCACATACATTATGTTCTAGAAGTCACTATGAAAGAAGAAGAGTTTGCAGAGTCATGTCAGTCCAGTATAAATTGTTTTGACCAAAGGCTTTTTATGAGGCATTAACAAAGTTCAGAGACTATTGCCACTAATACCTCAAGTATCTAAATTATAATTGTAAAGTCTACTGGAATGGTATCTATTTTTTTTTTCAAAGGGACTTCGTAGTTAATAGCAATAAAATTATTCTTGAAGAGGGTGCTGGATTGCATAGCTGTGGAGTGTAATACTTTGTCTTTCATTATCTCTACCAGGATTTTTTTTTTTTCTTTCAGAACTACTCATGGTATCTTCTGATACCAGGACAGGAAAGAAGTCCAATCCAGAGTCCAGACAGAATGTTGAAGGTAAGATGGAAAGGCCTGAAATTATAAATGTTAGAGATATGTGTGAGGGTACTGCTAAAGAAGAAACCTTGTTAGGGGAAATGATAATATAAATAATGGTGGGAGAATGGAGGTGTCAGAAACCCCAAAAAGGTTCAGATATGTCAAACTACATAAGACAGGGCAACAAAAAGAGGAGAAATAGAGAACGGCAGACAGCACCCATGACAAACTCGTGGGTGATAGACAAGGTAAAAAAGGGAAAACAGGAAGAGAGTTAGAGCTAAAACAGCCTCCTGAAATGCTGGAGACATATGCATGGTTTGCAGACGTGAAAATACAGAGTATGCAGAAGAATGAGCTGTAACCATCCCAATAGCCCAAGAAAGTTATATTTGGCAGCCCACTCACAGCAACTGCTCTGTAGGTTAAGCAATTTCTCCAAAGAAAACCATTGAAAGGTCTGAAAATCTCTAGGCACAGGAAAACTCAAATTGATATTTGGAGTAGTAGAGCTGGCATGTTACCTCTAACACAAGATCATGGAGGTGATAYTCTTGCTTGCATCCAGATGACCAAATATGCTTCTTTAATGAGCTTATCTCAAGCAATAGAAGGAACATGGAAAACAAAATGTTTAAGAATTGCGCTGCTTGGCTGAGTCACTGACTGTGATTGTGACCTCAGAGCTAAGAATACCCAAGCTGAGGGGATGATCTTGACTGTAAGCTTACTAGCAGGTATGCAGTTTTATCAGTAGTTAATTAGGAGCCAGATTTTGGAATGCAGACTGTTCTTCTGTTTTCAGTGAAATTTAACTCCTATATATATGTGTGTGTGTATGTGTATCAATCTATCCTTAACTTAAGTCAAAATGAAAGAAAAGTCAATACTTCAGTGAATAAAACGTGTTTTAAAATTTTTTTCCTGAAGGAGCAAGAAAAAGCTACCATGTTTCTTCAGAGTCARTGACTGCTGACAAACATGAACTCTAACTACTCTCACTGTCAAACAGTACAAATAGCAGTTGAAGGTTAGCCATGATAGCATCACTTTAACAACTCAAGAATTTTAAAGAAAGCAAAGCAGACAGGAAACTTTTTACTAAGCATGCTGGATTAAAGAAATCCTGTCAGTTTATAGGCATTTTACACTGTATGTGTGAGGTAACTGCTTTCCAGGCAGCACGAGTACTGAGCAAAGAGCATGTACACAGATACCCACACTGCATGTGCTGTGAATTCTGTCTTTCTGAGATGAAGGATCCTCATATATATGCACAAGGTCCAGCGTATTTCATACTGAGCATAATGTGGCTTGGCTGTGTAGTTGCATGACTGTCAAATCTAGGGCAGGACTGGCCACAGGAGCATGAGATGGGGAGTAGGTCTCCCTTGTCAGGGAGCTGTTAGATGGGTTAAACTGTAACATGAAACTGCACCATAAGTCAGGAACTTCTGAGCATGGCCCTTGGCTCTGATATCAGCTCCTTCTGGCTGTGTGATACGAACCTAAATGCAGGGCCAATATCTGTGGACTGTGAATAGTAAAGCTTAGGTACCTGAGGGGACTGTAAGACTTAATTTGCTAATGATTACCAAGTATTAATTATTTTAATGTTCAGAGTGTTGATTAAAAATGTTTAAATGTTGAGTCATCAGATTCTAGCTGCACACTGTCACATGTCTCAAAGGTTTATTCATCCAATAAGCAACAAGGGATGGGTTTATTTATCTGGTAATCAACATAGCCCTGCATGTGGACTCAGTGCTTTAGTAATGGGAAAACCTGTTATTCCAATGCAATTATTATTTATTTTTGAGGAGAATAACTTTGATTTGCAAGAGTTGATTTCTCTTCTGTGGATGCAATCTCTGATGATTCAGTTTTGCATATGTATAATATATTTTTACCATGTCAAGGAGCAAAATCAGAGTGAACATGGCTTTATTGCTAATTCTATGTTAGATTTGCTCTGTCATAACAGCAGGATACTTGAAGAGGTTGAGGTTGTTATTTAGAAGCCTTGAAAACAAGTTACAGCCCAGCAACTGACTATTAAAGACTGCGATGAGAAGCTGCAGTCCAGCAAAGGTGGGAGACCGAGGCAGCTCCTCAACACTAATCCAACAAGAAACTGCATGGGAAGTAGGAATGGAATAAAGTTGCTTGCTGTTATATACATTACTCTTAGCAATGTTTGTGATGTTGAATGCTCTAAAGAAGGTGAATATGCTAAGTCATAGTGAAACAGTAGTGATTAGACTGATACATGGGCAATTAGGAACTTAGCTTTGTGTTAGACTCTCTCTGTTCTTTATTTATGTCTTTGTGAAATTTAGATTTACCTCAGTGAAGTCCTATAGAGATCAGATGGGCTTAATGTATCCAGACATTGACAGCATCTACCCAGAAACAGTGTAACTGCCTATAACTTATGTTTCACTTATAAGGTGTGCGCAGCTTTTCACAACCCTGACAGTCTAAATCGAATTCTTGGGGCTCCATATCTKTTTCTCCTCTTGTGCTGCACAAAACATTCACAACAAATGTCCCAGCTTTTAAAATTGCAATAAACTGCATTATATTTAGGATACATAAAGCTAGATTTTTAAATATGGAGAATCAAACTAAGTTATGCCAAAACATCTTAAATATGTGCAGACCTTTATCTATTTTGCTTGTGCAAATGCCTGCTTTACATGAATACATTTGCAATACAGATGCAACTTGAGTGGGTTCATATGAAGATGTGGCATTATATATGAATTTAAATGCAACAGCACATACTATTTTCTGAAATTAAAA